GGGGAGGGTCAAATGATGCATTTTCTTTAAATTTACCTTTTTCTTTTCCCCTCCTCTGTTCCAATTGTGGAACCTTTATGGAGAATATTGACCTAATAGTATCATAAAATGAAAATAAATTAAACATTCATACACATTAAACAATATATCAAATCAGACCCTCAGAATATCATTAATATTGTAGTTCAAGGATTCTGTTATTGTCAGCCACTCTTTACAGTGTCTTTAATAATTTCTGGAGTTCATACCTCTCTCAGAGCAATACATTTCTTGTCTTCTGCTTTCATGGGTCCAAACCATCCAACAAACCTTATGAAAGCTTCAACCTTGATCTCATCACTGTCCTCTGCACTATCTGATATTTAAAAATGAATGAAAGAATGAATGAAATTTGTATATAAAGATCCTACATAAAATCCTACATGCAACATGAAAGTCTTTCTTAAAAGACATCATTTCCTAAGTGGTAAATAATCAGTAAAAAGATTTTTTTGGGTCTTTTTTTGCAACAATTTTGCTCATCAACTACTATAGCTTATATCTAAGAAGTACTACAAGCTAGTGTATTGTATTAGTAAATCAAAAATTTTGTCTGGTTAACCATTTTTCCATAACTCCAGCTTACCTTCCAGCTGAAGAATTCTTTTCAGAACTTTAAGAGTTGTGTTGTTTCTTTCCTCTGTTGCCAATGTGTCCTCATTGAAGATTTCTCCAAGGTGTTTTAAGAAACTGCCCCATTTCTGGAAAAATGTACTTCAGATAAAAAATCTAAATAAAGTTTGTATTTCTAAATACAAGGGATCAGCTTTTATAGATTTTAAAAAATCTATAAAAGCTGATCCCTAGTAGCATATGTTAATAATTTAATTAAGACTCCTATTGGTAGAGTACACAATGATTATCGATTTCTCTTCTCTGATAGGACCAGTTGGCCTAACAGTCACTCATTGGCTGATGCTCAACATGCGTTTTTTTTTTTAATCTGCAGTTGCTAGTTTGTTCAAGGAGTTATAACAGAACACTTAAATACTTTGAATTTCCCACCCACCAACAACTTATTTATGTGACTGTGCCTATTTAATAGTTAATTAATTGCTAATATACATATGGATGGGTGTTTCAGTGGGATAATTTATATATGTATGCATGCTTTCATTGCTTAATTCTATCGTTTCCTCAACTTAAGTGGCTTTTATTTACATTATTCTCAAATTGTTGTATTTCTTTATACATGTAGTGTTAGAAAAGCAATAAAGCTTTTAAGACCATCTGTGTGTTGATTTAAATAAAGGGTATGGCACCACCACCACTGAGAGGTTTTTATCAACAAGGGCAATATTTTGATCAGTGCTACATGTACATACTGTAGATATATATAGATACATCCACATTTTTATTCATTTATCATCTACTCTACATTTTACGTCACATGATAAGTACAAAAACATCTTTAAAAAAATCTGTAAACAAAAATATCAAAATAAACTGTTGATTGTCTTTTTTTTTTTACCTTTCTTTCAAAACTTCCTCCTGGCATACTAGTCCAAAAGTCTTCATTTTCCAAACAATAAAAGTTATGCTCATAGTCAGTGGTGAAGGCTGAAATTATTGAAGTTTCTCAGATCACATAAACATTCAAAATAACTTTTTGTTACCTTTATAAACTTCTTTCAAACAATGTCTTATTGTCTTACTTATCCTCTTCGAGCCATATTCAGCTCATAAGGCTTGCCAGCATTTAAACAGTTATAAGTTTCTAAAAACGAAAATAGAAAAAAATTACCAAACAAATAATGTGATTGTTTATAAGTTATACTATTTTCTATTAAATTGCCATTATATACTTACAACTTTGTGACAGCACTGAGGACCTTTGAGAGCTGCTTAGACTGCTAGCAAGTGTACAGACATGCTCACAAGGACCATTTTGATCCACAGCAGGGACTGGCTCAGATAAAAATTCACTTTCAACATCTTCTGAAGCAGCTGCAGCAGCTCCAGCTCTGTTCTGATCCTCATCCTGCTTAGGCGTAATTTGAATTGTGATGGTATATTGTATATTTTAATATACAATAACTTAAAAGTTATCAACCTTTCTTGGACAACCTATATTTTATAACAATAAATCAACATTATCTAAATAACCTTGCTGTTTTAATCAACACTTATTATACCAAGGGGGCAGAGGGTTAATTGAATCATAAAATTACTTTTTAAATACTTTTTAAACCACCCACCTGTTCAACCTCTTTGACAACTTCTTCACATGGAACACCTGATTCATGGTTTTTATCCTCCATTATTATGCTAAGTTTACTTTCAAATTAAAGCAGGTTGCATCAGCTCCATCTATCTTCACACAGCCATGTATATGTAATTATCTGCAACTGTGAATGCAATCATGATACTTATCATTATTATTATTATTTTGCCACACTATTTTCTGTCTTTATAGTTTATTAGATTTGTCATCTTAATTTATCAGTTAACAAATAAAAAGGGTACATTAACTTAAAAATATCATGTACATTGCACCAGTATACTAGTATGCTATATCAAACAAATTTAACGAAATTGGCAAAAAATGTGCAATACCAACTTCAATTACTCCAGCAAAGTAGTCATAATGGCTTACGTGGGAATATATTTTATCAAATCTATTCAAAAATACTAAACCAACTTTTATTATGTTATTCTTAAGTAGATTTAGGTGCTTTTTGGTCCATCAACAAGCAGGTGCCTTGTTTATAATCCCTTCAGATGTTTAATCTTTATAATTTTCAAGGTACCCTGAAATTGCTACAGGTACATACAAATTGGTACAATTTGGTAAATTGGTAAATGTGCCTAGGAAACATTACCCAACTGTGCACTTTGATATACGTTATGGGCACATTTACCAATTTGTACCAAATTTGCCAAATAAAATGGGTTAAAGTAATTAAAGGCAAGATATGTGGTTACTCAATGAAAATATAATATTGAGCGCACTTTTTGTCTTTACAAATGAAATGAAACAAACTACATGTAGCTATCAGGACTACTCTACGTAGCTTTTAGGGAGTGAGTTGATCTGTAGAAAAAGCCGTCTTTTTATATAAGATCTCAAAGTAATTATGAAAGTTTTAAAGTCTCTCTAATACTCAACTTTAAAAAGTTTTCATATGATTAATGCCATACAAACAAACTCGCTGCTCACCTGTAAAGTACTTGACCAATTAACATGGTCATTATGCTGTTAACAATGCAAAGACCCAATTTGGATGTGGTCTGGGCCATGTCCTAATTGGAATGTGCATGGTCTAGGTCAGTTAAGAGGTGGACTACTGCTAGATACGTATCTGGCCTGTGACATACATATTTTAACTGTACGTACAGTATCGTGCATTGAAATTTATGAAAATGAAGGAGAATGTTCATAGAAAACATGTTCAATTCCACATATCATCTTGTACTGGGTTCTTAGATAAACCGTGGGTATAATCTTGACGCTAGGGGCTCTAATCCACTGCTGGAAGATTCTAGGTACGGTACGCGATTCCCGACTTGGGTTATGCCCGGAGAGAAGAGTAACGCAACACCACTGTTTAGTTACCAAAATCAAAACTCCTTTATTGTCAGGTCGCAGCCTGATTTTATACCTAACTTGGTGTGACAGACATATCTTTATTGAGCCTTCACTATAATTAAAAAAGATAAGATAAGAGATTAACGTTAGATAAGAGATATAAACTTCCATTGACACTTATTACGAGTCGCGCGCTCTAGCCCGCGACTCTGATCGAATAAATTTTCATTATTCTAATGTTAAATTTTACTAGTCTGAGCAATCTGTGAGTCATATCTCACAATTCTGTTGAAGAAGTGAAACTAACTGTGACTTACCTACCCATGTACAATTGACAAGGGAGGGTTTTCCTTTTCGCCTTCAGGCTTAAATGACCAAACATATGTCATTTAAATTTAGGATCTCTTTTCACCGACAGTGATTTTCAACTATACTGTACGTGAGATTAAAAAACCCAGCAGCAAAAGCCTTTCTGTTCCAAATCAGGAAGTGACGAACGGCAAATTCTATTTATAGCCCGGGTTTTTCCATATAGTAGCGCAGAAGAAAAAGTTGATGTGAGAAGCTTCCAGGAAATGGAGAACAAGCAGAAAATACAAGTTTTGTTGGAAGATGCTGAGGGAGATATTAAGTTTGCCCTCGAAACTTTAAAAGAAACAGTCGATGGCCATCGACATAGCAGTCAGTGCATTGAAAAGTTAGAATCTGCACTGAAAAAAATGAAAGACATGGGGCGTTTGATTGGAGAGTGGGCGAATTTTGGTAAGAATTTGGTATTTCACTCTGCAGTACTGCCCCCCCTCCTCCACACACACACACACTTAAAAGGACTTTTTGATTTTCAGAGATTTCTAAATTATATGCTGCACATTGGACGGAGACGTTTTAATTGTTCATTTAGAGTGCCTTTTTGTCAAAAATATTTATATTTGTGTTGAATTGAATTGTGATGTAATCACAGACCAGACAAATTAAATAGGGGAGAGTGGGGCTAGTCACCCTGAGCTTCAGAGCTAACTTGACACTTGACACGATGGAGATAGGCTACAGTGAAAAGGTTAGTGTCAAGTTAGCTCTGAAGCTCAGGGTGGGGGCTAGTTGGCCCAGTTAGACACTTTTGCATGGCCTTGTACATGTAGAGCCAACTAGGAATGAGTTAGAGTAAGCCCCATGAACGTTTTCAAAGTAAGCCCCATGAACTAAGCTACGTATGCAGCGTCATTATTTTTCAAATATAATGCCAGGTGGCTAATAATTTGATTAAAATGCAGTTGTCGTCTGGGGCCAATTAACTTGCGCTGCCACGGGGCAATTAAGTTGGCCCCTGTACGAAAATTATGTAAGTATCCCATGAAAAGGCCTTGAAATACATTTTTATACATTTTTAATTTATTTAATTGATTTTTGAGAGTCTTTGATGAATATATAGTTCAAATGAGGCAGATTTATTTAGGTTTCCATATGTCGCGTTGTTGGGGGGGGGGGGGGG